ATTGGAAAATTCGTTGGAAATTTCCAACGAAAATTGTACACACTGAAATAATTGCCCGGAAAATTGAAATTCATTGGAAATTTCCAACGAATTTTCCAACTAATATAAAAAATGCCGAACAATAACGGGTTTTTTTGAATTCGTCGCAAAATTCGTTGAAAATTTCCAATGAATTTTTTTTCGTTGGAAATTTCCAACGAATTTTGCGACGAAAATTTTTTCGTTGGAAATTTCCAACGAATTTTGCGTCGAAAAATTTTTCGTTGGAAATTTCCAACGAATTTTACTTTTCGTTGGAAAATTTGTCGCAAATTTGCAACGAAAATTTTTTCGTCGCAAATTTTCGTGGCAAAAATTCAGTTTTTTTGTAGTGTATGCCTATGACAATTTTACCCCAAACTAATTTTTTAACCACCAAAAACCCAAAACTGGTACACTTGTGATAAATTTACTTTAAGTTTATTTCCATTAAATTTTACTATCAAATTGCTTTGTTAAATAACATTAGGCAATTGACGGATGTACAAATTTTATGTTTTACCCTCCGTTTGTCACAGACGTACCACTTTATGATTTTTTGTGATATTAATAAAATTTAATGGAAACTAATGGAGGGTAAATTTATCACAAATGTACCGGTTTGGGGTTTTTTGTGGTAAAAAAATTAGTTTGGGGTAAATTTGTCACAGGTGTACCAGTTTGGGGTTTTTGATTGTCAAAAAATTAGTTTGGGATAAAATTGTCACAGGTGTATTAGTTTGAGGTTTTTCGTGATATTAACGTTTATATAAATATTTTTTTTTTCGGTTTTCCAATATATTCAGAATTAAAGAAGGTGTCCTTACCAGCTTCTTGTTGATCATTTGGCCAAATTTCATGTCATACAGTTAAGCAAACCCAACTAAAATGCACATGAGATCACAATGGAATTCCAATTTGCTATTTCCAATTTCGTTATGATGTTTTCTAAATCCTCCTTCCTGGAAGTCCTAATTACTTTTTTTTTTCCGAATATAGATATCGTAACCCTAAATAATTGTTCTTTAAACTTAATCTGCCAATACTTTTATAGAGATAGAGATAGATTGGTGTTACTTGACTGCTTTTCCATGTGCTTGCGACATTTCATTTATTTTTGGCCGGTTTATGGTCCCAGAGAACCATCATATTGGACACCGACTATCTTGGAGTCATCCGATTGAAGCCTACACATCCCAATAAGACTTTGACTAAAACACTCCCAACAAAATGTTGCGATCATTTTATTTATCATGGATCCCACCTTTCAATATCATTTGGATTGTGTTAGTGTCCTTTTTTCGGTTTCTTCTTTTGCAGGTCCCACTTTCCTTCAACTTCGTCCTTCTCTTTTTCTCTCGCCTTTTAGTTTCTTTTCTTCTATGTTTGATATGGTTTTTGTGTCATTTTTCATGACGAGTGCTGGATAAATTGATTAAATTCGAAGTGTTGGTTAATGTTAAGAAATGTGGTAATTTTCCTTGTGATGGGTTCAGGTCAATGAAGTTTGAATGTGTTTTTTTTTTCTTTTTCTTTTCTCATCTCTGTTTTTTTTTTAAAGAAAAGTGGGTATTGATTCATTTTGTTTACTGTTGAATCTAATTAAAGTTTATGCTTTTGAGGATCTCTTTTTTTGGCATTGCTAAGTATCTCTCCTTTTGGGGATTCTGTTTGAGGAAGTTTTCGAAATTTGTGGGGAAGAGTGGAATGAAGAAAAGCAGATTTTGTCCAATCCTAAAAATTTTGCTTTCACCAAGTGAAAAAAGGTTTATCATCCCATTAACTTCTAACAATTGAACTTACTGATTTCTTTGCCCCTATTGGGATAGAGCATGCATTTGATTTTTTTAGTGGATTTTGAGTATTCTTTTCATTAAAGATTTCTTCGGACTGGTTTCCGTTGATCTCTTTCTTTTCTGCAATTTGTTTGGTAAAATGATTTCAAGATGCACATTTTGATATCTTCCCATAGGTTTAGTTATGTTTGGACTTTGTAAAGGATGAAGAATTTTAATCAATAAATTTTAGTTTTCTTCTCATTTCAATAGGTTAATTGAAACATTTTACCATTTTGTTTTCAGTTCTTGGTAAAGTGGAAAACCAGTGGGCACACCAAATGCATTTTTGCATATTACCTGGTAAAGTCTATTGGTGGCAGACTTGGCGATGCAAAGTCTAGTTAGATCCCTTCTCTGTATTATATTGGGTTGATTTTGAATAGAGAGGGCTTCAATATGTTGCATAGCCACCAATTAGACCGTGAAAACATTATTCAACTGAGTTCTGTGATAGACCAAAAAAAAAAAAACTAAGTTATGTGCTTTTGGTGGCATTTTTCTCTACAAGAGAGATGCTGAAAGGTGGGATGAAAATGAAGGAAAGCGGGACCCACAAAAAAAAAAAACCAAAAAGACACTGACAGAAGTGAAATGTGGGAACCACAAAGGGTGAAATGGTCATAATACTTTTGTTTGGGAGTGTTTTAGCCGAACTATGGGTGGAAAAAGAGTGGCCCGAAAAAAAGTCTTTTTGCCTTTTGGTTTGAATGGACGTGGTTCTGGAAACTTTGTGTATGTGCCATCTTTCAAGTCCAATCCAAAGTTTCAGTCTCACCATACTTCGCTATTGCAAATTAAAAATCAAGCAAGATATAAAAATGGTAGGTGATTAAAATTAGTTGGTATCTAATGTGACGAATGTTGGTATGTCAATCAAATGAAGATTGATAATCTTGAATAAAAGTAACTATTATTAAAGGCATTGGCAAGCCACAAGAATAAATGTCGATAGATTATTAAAGTAATTAATAGTTTTGAAAGTATAGAGAAAAGTCAATTTGGGTAAGTGTGGTGGTAGATATCTCAGGTCCTCAAAGTTGGTTTATTACACTATAAATGGAAGTCATATTATTCTTGTCTTGTTAATTACTATTGTTTGAGTGTGTATTATAATAGCATTTTGTTCAAATTAGTTTGTGTATCGTGAGAGTAATAGAGATATTTCATAAGGTGAGAGTTAACATATTGTAATGATTGTCTTCATATTTTTATATATACATAAAGCGCTTTGCACATTGTGATTGAGGTGCTTTTTCATCTAGCACTTTGTACTGGGTATAAGCAATTTCGCACGAACCAAAGATATCGTTGACATACTTTTATGCTCTTTTTTGCTTGATTTTGAAAAGTACCAACATTTGTTTATACATAGAAGATTGGCAATTAGTTGAATAATCTACCAATACTTATTCCTGTGACTTACCAACTCCTTTAAAGTTACTAACTATTATTCAATATCACCAAACTTAATTTGACCGATACACCAACATTTGTCACATTAAATACCAAATTAATTTTAGTTGCTAAGCAACTTTTTATCCCGTCTGGTTTTGAAAGGTACCGACATTTATTTATACTTTCAAGATTTCTAACTACTTTAATAATATACCAACATATATTCTTCTGGCTTATTAGAAAAGTGGCCTTATTAGAAACAAAATTTGAAACATTTGCTTATGGACAGGACATGCCACGGCGATGCCATGGTTTATATATTTGAAACATTTTGTTAAGCCAGGGCACTTATTAGCCATACCTAGTAAAAAAAACAGTTTCCTTCCACGATACACTAATTGTGCAGAACATGAAAAAAATAGTGCTTGAAAACTGATAAAATTTCTCTCCGTGTGGATTTTTAATTAAACCATCGTCCCTGAAACACTTGCTAATAAAATCCTTACTAGAAATATATGACAGTTCACATATTCAAATTTGACCCGATTTGCCATTAAATAAACGTGTATAGGCCAATTCGCAACAGCTGCAGCTTCCAAGTTACGGTGAATAAAGTTGATGGCTGCAAAAGTTAAGGTGAGGGACATTATGATTACAAGAACACATGTCGGTGTAGCTTTTCACGCGCCCAATTTCTTTCAGTGTTTCTTCTTCGCGCTTTTCACATGGCTCTGGCTATGCAGACGACATTTCTTCTGAATTAACTTTTGAACTTTTGGATTAGAAAAATATGAACTCGCACATTTAAACCATTTACGATTATTCTATGGCTATATCTATAGTTGGGCATATTTAAGATCCCAATCCAATATTCTAGATTTACAATATATCTAGATAAATATATAATAACAAGATATACCTAAGAAATCATTCTTCATGATGACACATGAGGCTCCAAATAAATAAACAATCTCCTTCATGTTGCACCGATGGGATTTGCTGCATCGTTCACAAAAAAATACTCCACCGACGCGCTACCTAAACAAACCAAACTGCATAAATATCGTTTGAAGTAAAGTGAAACCAAACTGTACTGAATTATATTTTATATATAGAATATATGGGAAAATTGTTCAAAAAGTCCTAAACCTATTGCACTTTTGCCAATTCAGTCTTAAATTTTTAATTTTGTCAATTGAGTCCTAAACATTTTCATGTTTTGCCAATTGAGTCCATCCGGCCAATTTTGGCTGGGAATTGCTAACACGGATGCCGGCCGTCTTACGTGGTGCGGCTAGCACTGACGTGGATAATTTGTAATTTTTTTTCGAATTTTTATGGCTACCAGCTAGAGGAGGAAGAAGGGAAGGGGAAAAAATAAAAAATAAAAGTTAAAATAAAATAAATAAAAATTTGAAAAAAATTAAAATATTATTTAAAATTGTCCATGTCAGCACCAACCGTGCCACGTAGGACGGCTAACGTTCACTTCAATTATTTCCAGCTAAAATTGGTCAGATAGACTCAATTAACAAACTTGAAAATTTTTAGGATTTAATTGGTAAAATTGAAATGTTTAGAATTGAATTGGCAAAAGTGCAATATGTTTACGATTTTTTGACAATTTTCCCTAAAATATATAATAGGCATGATTGAGGTACTTTTTCTATGTGTGTGTGTAATAGGCACGATTGAGGTACTTTTTCTATAAACATGAGAGAGAGAGGGGGGGGGGGGGGGGGGGAGAGAGAGATGACCTGCTAAGTGCGAAGTGAGCTCTTACGGAAAACTAAGAGATAGGAATGAGCACCAACAATCTATTAGGAGGTGAGTACCAGGTATTCCTGAGTTTTAGAGGGCCTGACACTCGTCGCGGAATCACCAATTGCCTCTACCACGCCTTGGTAGATGTCGGGATTCGCGTTTTCATCGATGACGAAGAGCTTCGACCAGGAGAAAGAATTAGTGGCAACCTTCTGTTGGCGATCGATGACTCCAAGCTTTACATGCCCATCTTCTCTAAGAATTATGCTTCGAGTCACTGGTGCCTCCGTGAGCTTGCAAAAATGGTAGAGAACACCTCTAAATCTAAAGAAGAGGGGAATGAGAAGGTGATATTGCCCATCTTTTATGACGTGAAACCTGCTGATGTGAAGCTGAAAACCTCGTTGTACAATGATGCCATATTGAATTTGGAGCAAAAGATGGAGGATGAGAAGAAGTTCAGCCATGAGGAAATAAAGACGTGGCGTCAGGCTCTCAGCAAAGTTGATGACACCAAGGGGTGGGAGCTGCAGAAATATCCGGGGTAATCATCTAACTGTGAATGTCTAAATTATATTTTACAATCAGGCTATAAATTTAATAAAAATTCATTAATTATATTCCAACTCCAATTTTCCTCAATTGAAATGGAAAGTCTCAATTTGTCCTTTTACTTTTTTCTAAATCATGAGATATCCAAATTTATTCGGACATAGGAGGATTATTACATTTTCTTTTTTGACTATGTTCCATTGTATAAGAATTTGGCTTTGCTTCATCTTTTTTTTACCAAATTGATCCGTGAATGTATTACAATTCCTAAGGTATGCTTGAGAACTTGATTATGGAACCGTATGCAGTTGCATTTGTAAAGTTCTTTTCCACATCAAAAGAAACAAGTAAATCTAATATTGCCATAATTCATCATACATTTATATTTTGATTCTTCCACTTTTTTTACCAGAAATCTCAATTCTTCTACTTGATTTTATAATGGAAAAAGTGCTCTAGAACTCTTAAAATTTGTCGCAAAAGTACGATTGAGTCCTCAACTATCAAAAAATCCGAACAAGTCCTAAAACTTGTCAAATTTATACAATCAAATCTCTCTGTTAAGTCCGTCCAACTTGGTTAAAAGAAAATGCTAACATGGTTTTTCCATTTTTTTTTATGACATTTGGCGCCGATGTGGCACTTACCAATCGCCATATTAGAAAAAACTTGAAAAATTTTAAAAAAATGATTAAAAGATTCTACTAATAGAAATGAGGAAGGATAAGGATAAAAAAAAAATTTACTTTATTAAGCTGCTCCGCTTACACCATTTTCATCAGTCAGACCGCCGCTATCGACGCTTGTTGATCAACGGTAGTGCTGCTTGTCATTGAAGCTGTCCATGGTCGCCGGCAGCTGTTGCCTCAAACACCTGCTGCTAGACTCGAACAACATCACCACCTACTGCCTTGCCGGCTACCCTTGCGCTTGAAGACAACCACTATGGAATCAAACAACACCTCCACAACAACCAAATTCAGCCTCCACAACCAACTTCAGGCCTGAACACCACCAAACTCATCCCCTACCACCACCTAGCACCATAAGAACTCGACCACCATTGCCAAAATCGTCCACCACCGTCACCAGATCAGGTTGCCGTCACCACCATTATGGTTTGCCACCATTAAAATCGTGCAGCACATCACCGCGTACGAATAGACTCGGGTTTGAGTTTGGGCCTCAAACCGAGCACAAAACCTCATATCTGTGGTCAAACGACCTCCATTTTGAGGTTGTGCGACCTTAGCCACCATTGAGAACTCCGTTGGAGGCCACTTGCCTTGGCCTAAGCTCGGAGAGTGAGAGAGAGAGAGAGAGAGAGATTTGGCGCTTGCAACCATGGCAGCTGGAGAGTCTTCAAGCTCACGGCCACTGTCGCATGAGCTTCATCGAGTTTGGCCATGGCTGCTGGAGCTTCATCTAGCTTGGGAGAAGGGTCGCTCAAGCTTCGTTGAGCTTGGTCATTCGGCCATGGCGGTTGGAGTTTCTTCTAGCTTGCAGCCATGGCCAGTAGTGGCCAGTAGAGCTTCCATGTAGTATTTCAAACTCCTATCTCAAGAACTCAATTCAAAGAAACCATGAAAAGTTTTAATGGAGAATCAACAAATGATCAGGTTGGAGAAAAAAGTTACTGGAGATGGAGCAAGCAAGATTTCTTTCCACTGTTCCTCGCGCTCCTTTTTATTTATTTATTTTGTTATTTTTTAGTTTTTTGTCCTATTTTCTAATGTCGGGTCAATAGTTTCCATCCATCAAATTGAACGAGCTAATAGAGCAATTTGACAAGTTTTAATATTTAATTATACTTTTTGAAAATTTTAGTACTCAAACATTTATCTTTATAATCAAACACATCTCGCCCTCTATTCCTTCAACTTAAACTTGTAATGGATGTTTAGGTTTGTAAATTCGTCTTGTTCTTGAAGTTTTGAGCGTAACGTAATCCATCTTGGTCCAATCCCGTTTTTTTCGTGCCCTTTTTTATTGGATAATTCAAGTTCAGGGACAATATTGAATATTTTCAGAAAGTGCAGGGACTAAATTGAATATGTACCAAATGTCCAAGGATCACACTGAACAAATTAAAATTTCAGAGATCACATTACAGTAAAGTTCAGGGATCATATTGAACAAATTAAAAGTTATTACATCATATTACAAATTAAGCCAAAGTTTATGAACCATTTGTGTTATTATCTCATAATTTTAGTTGCATCCCAAACCCCCAAAAAGAAATTTTAGTTGCCTCATGATGAGAGAGAGAGAGAGAGAGAGAGAGAGAGAGAGAGAGAGAGAGAGAGAGAGAGAGAGAGAGAGAGAGAGATGTGATAACCCATAACTTACAGGTGAAATGACCGTGAAAAGTAATTGTTGGGTAAACCTCGCACAAGGGCATGCGCATATATATGTAATGTAGAGCTAAAGTTTAGTGTCTTTGAACACGATGAACATTCAAATAAAATGAACTTACAAAACTCAATGCTGTTTAGTTTAGTATAATTGTTTCGGTAAAACACAAAAATACTTTTCTTACATTGTTTTTATATTGGTCTCTTACGTGGTGTTCTTTCTCGCATGCAATAATAAAGTGTCCACATTAGATTCCTTCCTGGCTCCCTCACTTAACTGATCAGTTTATGAAATTGATCTACGAAAGAGATACGACAAATACTTGTTCGATATTTGAATAAGAAGCGCTCATTTATATACTCCTTTTCTGTTCTTATTAATAAGATTTCTTCCTCCAAAAAAGTTTTGACCTCGCGTTCCCACCCTGTTACTCGGTATATTGTTGGTCAACATGCAATTATACGAATTTGTTTACCTTTTCTCAATTGAAACTATTCAACCTTGTGGCAGCGAAGGGGTTCTTATCGAGGCTGTTGTTAACGAGGTTGTGGTTAGGCTCAAGACAAGACAGAGAAAAGTGACAGGAGATTTAGTTGGGATGGAAGATCGAATGGCGGCCATAAACAGTTTATTAGACATCAAATCCGGTGGTGTGCGGCTTATTGGAATTTATGGGATGGACGGCATCGGCAAATCAACACTTGCCAAGATTATCTATAACCAACTATGTCCTCGCTTTGGGAAAAACTGCAGCTTTCTTGATGGCATACGGGAAATGGCAAAAACCAAGGGCTTAGTCAAGCTGCAAGAACAATTGTTGTCCAATATCTCCAATTCTAGAGTGGCTCGCAACATTGATAACATTGATCATGGGATTGATACAATTAGAGAAATAATTTGCAACAAGAAGGTACTAGTTGTATTGGATGATGTTAATGAGGGAAACCAAATCGAATACCTCATTGGAATTAATCCTTTGTTCGTTGGCACTAGGATACTTGTTACGACTAGGGACAAAAGTGTTTTGAAAATAAGAGGATTGAAGTATGAAATCGTGCCTTATGAAATGGAGGTGTTGAACGACAAAGATGCACTTCAACTTTTTAGCAGGCATGCCTTCAATGCTGACATTCCTCCATACAGTTATGACACTTTTTCAAAAGACATCGTCTCTACAGCGGGTGGACTACCTTCAGCTCTTCAAGCTATAGGTTCATTGCTTTTTCTTCAGGAAGAGAAAAAAATATGGGAAGAGATGCTAGAAAAGCTAAGGAAAACACCTAATAGTGATGTCTTGGGAAAGCTAAGGATCACCTATGATGCCTTAGAAGCGGATCAACAACAAATATTTCTTGATGTTGCATGCTTTTTCATGAGTAAAGATAAGGCTAATCCAGTCTTGGTGTGGAAAGATTGTGGGTTCAGCCCAGAGTATGCTATTGATGTCCTTATTAACAGGTGCACAATAAAGGTTTTAGAGGGTAATAAATTTTGGATGCATGATCAGTTTAGAGATCTTGGAAGAGCAATTGCTAATCAAGAGCGTTCCAGGTTGTGGGTTGTAGACGACATCATTCGCGAATTAAGATCAACAGAGGTAAAGTATGACCAAATTTAATTTGAATAAAAAATTACTTACCGTGTTCATCATTGAGGATTCACATTTCTGAATTGGGAGCGACACTCCTGTTTCATTTTTTGTTCTCTTTCACGGAATAAAATTGTATGATACTGACAAATTCCTGCAACTGCTCCTTAATGTCATTGGCAGATCAAGAGCAGCGTTCAAGCACTGGATTTGACAAATTGGTCAGGGACTGATGATCAAATAACTGTCACTGCTGAGCAAATTAAGCGGTTCCCACGTCTTCGGCTGCTGTGGTTGCATAACATAACTTGCCAAGGCGACTTTGCGGGCTATCTTTTTGAGTTGAAATGGATCAGTTTGTTTTACCCTGATGGAAGTTCTGAACGCCATCCACGTTTTGAGGCAACCAATTTGCATCTCGAAAACGTGGTAGTGGTGAATCTTGTTGGCCATGGATTCATGGATGATCATATCAGAAGCCTAATCCAGGTATGTCAGTTTCCCTCTTAGTCTAACTTTCTCATTCAACGAAGGACAAATTTCAATGGACTTAATAGTCTAATTTTCTCATTTAGTGAGAGGATCAAAGGAGAAATGATCCAAGTTGGGAGCCTAAATCCCTATGTACTTCTTGTATAGACATCCAGTTGTCCGTTCTGATGTTTCATTGGCTTTTGTAGGAGGGGAGGAAATTGAAGGTTCTCATTCTTGAAAATAATAAGTCTATATACAGGACACCAACCTTTTCCGAATACTCAGTTTTAGAGAAATTGACCATTTTTGAATGTTCATCTTTGATGGAAATTGACTGCTCTATTGGAAAACTGAGGTGGCTGACTGAGTTGAGTATTGAGTCATGTCGGAATCTTGGAAAATTGCCTGAACAAATTGGAGAGTTACCGAATCTTCAGCACCTCTCTCTTAGGAATTGTGATAGCTTGAGTGAACTCCCCGAATCTGTTTCGAAATTAGAGTCATTGATGAAGTTGGATGTATCACACACGCCTATTACAGTATTACAGGATTCCATTGGTAGACTGCCAAGCTTGTCATCTCTCAATGTATCGTCCACACCAATTGCGAAAGTGCCCAGTACAATGAGCGAGCTTAGTTGCCTCGAAACACTGGACTTAGAGCATTGTCATAAGATCCAAGAGTTGCCGGAGCTCCCCAAAAGTTTGACAACTCTACGGCTGAGATCTACTTCGTTGCAAACTGTCCCTAACCTCTCAAACCTTACTAATCTAGTAGAACTGCTCCTATCTGATGGCTCTGAATCTAAGGCCACATCAAATATAATTCAAACTTGCGACTTGCAGTGGATTGGGAGGTTATCCAAACTGAGGAAGCAGCAGTTGTGCCTTTTAAATGTCCGCACACTGCCTACAGAGTTGGGCTCCCTTTCTCTGCTGAAAGAACTTACAATGTATGGACTAGACTTCCAATCCCTCGAACAACTTCCGTCAAACTTGACAGTTCTAGAGCTCGATCGCACTCAAGTGAAACAAGTACAGCTCGATGGGCTTCCTCAGTTGGAACATTTGACTATCAAAAGGTGTAAACTCGTTAAAAGATTATCCATTCCATCAAGTTTAAGAAAACTGAGAGAAGCCGAGGTGTCTTCTTGCACTGACTTAGTCGAAGTTCAATTTCTCGGTGACTTAATATCATTGGAGGGATTGTGTATTGAGGACTGCAAATCTTTGGAGAGGCTGGTTAATCTGTCGGAGGAGCCCGGGTTCAATGAGCGAAAAGCTCCCGAGTTGACTAATGGTGGCAGGAGAGTGTCCCTTGTCTCAAGCTCCCTAAAGATGCTTCAAGTATTCAAGCTGTCAAGGTGCCCAGAGCTACATGAGATTCAATTTGCTTCTACGTTCAAACCATTGGGAGTATTTTCTGTCGAAGAGTGCACTTCGTTAAAAAAGATAGGCGGTTTGTCAAACTTGAAGAACTTGACGTGGTTAGGTATTGTAGGGTGCGAGAGCCTGCAGGTTGTCGATGGCATGGACGAATTAGAGCGTTTGGAGCAGTTGAAAGTTTATAGGTGCAGATCAATGGAAACGATTATTGATGCATCGAGCTCAAAAATACCAAAGGAGTGCCAGATACAGATGAGGGATTGTGGGGAGTTACTCGACACTGGTTCAGATGGTTCAAGCATCACTTGGGAGTCTTACAGAGAGAAGATTCTAAATGCATCAAGGCAAGCATCAGACTCTGAAGTTGAAACAACTTTTTACGACTGTGAAGCAGAAATAGGGGATCCTCTAATGGAACAGGTGCGCCTTGTTTCTATTCATGGATCATCAATGTTTCTTTTCATTTGCTATATGTGTGTCAACTTAGGAAGTAAGGTCAGGTATCTTACATCACTCACCATCTGACTGAGAATTCACACTCTCCTTCTTCCTATTTGTGCTTTTACTTCATTCTGTGCTATCACAATCACTCAAAGGACATGGAGCCTATATTTACCCCCAAAAATTGAGTATGCAACTTCATGTCTTCTTTTTTCACTCGATAAATTCGATATTGTGGAATATGATCGTGCAACGTACCAAAATCACAAGATACCGGACAATTAAATAGGAAATAAATTTAACACACCACGGTTTGCGTAGTTCAGATCAAAAAGTGATCTAGATCCACCGAAGAGTGACAATAATAGATCCACTACAAACTAGGAAATTGTAACATAAAAAAATAATTTCCCGATTCCAACCTCGATTTCACCCAATCCTCATCTAGTATTTCGCTCAATCTCTAATACAATTTTCCTTAAACTAAAACTCACAAGAACCTAAAATAAGGGTGGCGCTATTTCCACCCCCAATATGACTAAACCCACCCTATCTACACTAAAAAAAAAATTGTCCTCAATCGTTCACTTACAAAGTGATGGCCAAATTCTTTCTTTTCCTATTTTTCTATTTCTATTTGAAATCTAGTTGCCATAACTAAGCATTTCACCTGTTTTATTTTTTAGTATATTAAAGAAATTTTTTAGTGTATTCTTAGATAATCATACTACGTTCAACATGTCCTGTATAAAAGTATATCGCTATTAGTAATGAAACAAGACAAATTCTTTGATATAGTAAAAAACTTAAAAGTCTCTTCTACATCATTGCTCTTAGAATAACTTATCTATAATTTATCTCTCTTTTTTTTTTGTCAACTTTGTCTCTCTTATCTCAAAAGCTCACTTTCTCGGTGAATTTTTTATTTTTATTTTCATTAGTCTAAAATATATTAAGTCTCTTTACTAACTATATGAAAGATTTTATTTTTTTTCCTTACTAGTGGCGAGATAGTTATACATAAAGCATATAAGATGTCATAGAAATATCCGGAAATACTCTAAAAACATTATTCACGATGACACATCTCTTGATATATTTTCAAACACTTTATAGATAATATCAATCTTTGTTAATCCAAAATAATAAGATCTCATTGGCATTTTACAAAAAAAATTCTTATTTTATGCACTGTTCTGATTTAATTAACTTTCATCTCTAAAGTTTCATGTTGGAGAATGTAATTGTGATTTTAATTTGGAAAATCTTCAAAGAGGATTTTTTTTCTTCAACTGATCATCCATGTCTACAGGAATCTCTGCCCAAGAATCTTCTCACACATGTTAGCACTGATGCAAAATTGTCGATCAGCGTTGGTCATTACTGTGCTCAATTTCCGTGCCAAAATCACTAGCCAAGTTCCTTTACCATGTCTGGTGGACCCATTCACGTGTACACAGGCTGATCATTTAAATTACCAACAGCGTGTGAAAGATCAAACCTAATACTACACCTACACGTGGCATACCTCTAACAATCAACGGTACTAGCATGTGAAACACGAGATATATGCTTCGCCTCTTCCCGATGCACAGAGACAACTTAAATGATTTTGTAAACGTGCAGCAAGAGTGGTATTTACAAATCTTATGAGCTACATGTTGTGGTGCTTCAGACTTTTCTCACGTACCTCCTCTTAGTCATTCTTTAAATTCCAATTTTCCTCTCTCTTGGCATCTCTATATGCGAGACCTTCTCCCACTTCTCCCAAATTCCCCAACTAGACCTTCACTTTCAACCAACACTCCAACTCATCCACCTTCACTGACACTGCAAAGCCTCAAGTCTGTGCTCACCACAAAGTATCAATAAGTTGCCATACAATACCGCCACTCTACAAAATCTACCACCTCATCGGCACTCTGCTAATCTTTGGGCTCTTTTTGCAACTCCACGTACTTATATGTACACCATTTAGATCTTTCTTTACAATTGGTTACTCTCTCCTATTATAAGATAGAGCAAACTCGTTAAAGGTAACGTTTTTGTTGATCATAAATCTGGGTAAAGCTCATATGTGCACCAAGTTCATAGTTTAGGAATATGTATCTCCTTGCCCGTAGCTTCAGTGTGTCATCTTTCACATGAGTATAAGTACAGCAATTACAATATCTCAATCCAGTGTAATCAGCAACTTGCTCGACCACATTTCCTCATATTACTACAATCAATTGATATTGATGGCTATACTTCATGTTGTATTCATGGCCAAAATTGGAGAGTAAAGAGTGAGGTCTCTCCAACAAAATTATGTTCATTTTTCCTTCGAGTTTGCTCAAGTGTGATGTCTTGGCAGTAGTGGGGTGTCTCATTAAGCCTTACTCAGTGCAAATCTGCAAGAAATTTAAAAAAAAAAAATTAGGGGAAAAGGAGGGGCGGGGGGGGGTGGTGTGGGTGGTGTAAAAGAAAAGAGGATAAGAATTAAAAGAATTACAAAGCTAAAAATTTATTTTTGAAAAAGAACGTAAGACCATCGATCTGCATCGGTGAGGGTTGGCGAGGGTCGGCGAGGGCCCATGACCCTCGTTGGGTATTGGTGAGGGCGGTCGGCCCTTGTTGCTCACAGGGCTTGCCAACCCTTGTATTTATCGAACAGCGTTGGCACCACTATCGCCACAGACAATCCACCAGCCATTAATCAAGCGAGCATCATCCCCGGCCACCACCTTTGTCGAGGGCTAACACATCAAGCTATGACACCAACCTGACGCCATTTCCGATAACTATCATACCAGTACTTGATCCTTGCAAAAATCCACTTTTTTCTCCAAAATCAAATTTCCTTCTTTTCTTCATATGTGTCGAGTCTTGGGAAAGTCATGAAGAAGTAGATCAAAGCCTAACAGTTGCTCTGTTCTAATTTTCGGGGAATGAAGATATGCGAATTTGTGAATGCTGCTTGATTCTAATAGATTTATGTTCGATTGATGCTTTAGAAAGCCTTCTTAGAGTGATGATTAAGCGTGAGGACAATCCTTTATGTTGATTCTTGCTAGGTGTTTGCATTTGGGTGTTCAAACTAAGGATTATAGTCGTATGATATGTGGGCAATCTGTTTTCTTCTTTAAGATGTTTAATCCACATTAGATATGATATTTTCGAATCTCCCTGTCTCAGCAAGATGATGGTGACGAGCTTGAGGACAATGACGAGGATGATGGCAGGGAGGATGAGGATGATGAGGACGATGGCAGGGAGGATGATGATGATGAGAACGAAGGCAAGGATGATGACGACGATGACAACAGTGTGCATGAGGACAATGAGGACAATTACGGCGAGGATGACAAGAATGACGATGTGCATTTGTCTCGCGAGCCTTCACTGGTTTGTTCCGTGGACGATAATGATGAGAACAACGATGTCGACAAGGAAGGTGAAGGCAATGGCAACAGCGATAGCAAGGACGGCGAGGATGAGGATGAGGATGGCGAGGATGATGAGGACAACAATGTGCATGAGGTTTTGCAGTCATCTCGCTTGCCTTCGCCGGTTTGTTCCGTGGACGATAACGTTGAGAACAATGATGTCAACGAGGAAGGCGAAGGTGATGGCTATGGCGACGGCGATGACGATGAGGAAGAGAGGGACAATGAAGTAGCCGAAGAGGAGGTAAGAGACGACAACAACCTAAAACTCAGCTGAAATCTGTTCTCTGTTCAAAACTCGTGCTGATTTTTTGAAAAGCTTAAATTAAATCTAGCGATAGTTATTGCTCCAGATCGCCAGTTTGCTGCAACTAAAAAGTGTGATTGAAGAAATTGACATTGAAACTATCGGTTTTCAATCAAAAGAAGGGCTTTCCTCACATCATAGTCCCCTGCTTTGCCTTACTTTCTTCAAATCCAAGTACCTACCGATTGAGAAAAAAATTAATAAAAAAAGTTAAGTCAGCATTTTGTATTAGTCAACTTGGACGAAATTAAGAGATTCTGTTGATTCTTGCTAGTTGCTTGCGTTTGGGTGTTTAAACTAGGGATTATTGATTGACCTTTTCTTCTTAAGATGTTTAATCCACCTTAAACATGATATTTTCAAACCTCCCTCTCCTCAGCAAGATGACGGTGATGATTACAACAACAACGAATACGATGACAACAAGGAAGACAATGGCGATGAATACGGCGACGATGGTGAGTACAATGGCGAGGACGATGATGGCAACTAGGACGACAATGCGTAGGAGGTTCTATAGATCTCGTTGGCCTTTGCGGGTTCATTCTGTGGACAAAGATGATGAGAAGGAGGAAGGCGAAAGGCGAAGGCGAATGCAATGGCAACGATGAGGACAAGAAAGAGAGCGATGTTGAAGAGGCCGAGTACTTGACTTCTTTTTTCCTTCGAAACATGTGGCAAGATGACCATGATTCGCAGTTGAAAGAGTGTCAATGCTCATATCCTTCTGGTCTCAAGAGCTGATTGCCGAAACAACATCAGTTTCTCGTCTCTTTCGGTTCTTATCAGGTTTTATTCTTTTCCTTTTCAATAGTTAAAATGTTAATTCACTCCTTGTTTTTTTTCTCCACAAAAAGACAATGGTGTGCAATTGCCCTATTTATATCACGAATTTGTTTGGATTCTACTTGTTAATCTGTTCCAATTCAGGGTATGCATCTCATTATTTCGAGATGTCCCCCGTAGAAACATGCTTCATGAGTCTGTCTTTGCTGCTATTGTCCGAGACTCATCGGTTAACCACTCTATGACACTCAATAAACCTAAAAACAATACTCATGTTCCTTCCTAGACCAAATCCTTCGTCCTTTGCCTTACAGGCAAACAGGTGATTCCCAGAATTCTTCTCCTTGAAGGCTTTTTCATTGTCAATCCGGGCTTCTTGTCCATCACGAAATGTAATTTCAGTACCATCATTCTTACTCGTCTTTAAAGTATATAGACAGAAACAAGTCCATCTCATTAGAAAAGGAATTAACGTATTCAATCTCATGTACTATTTGTCCAAGTTGATGTGATGGCCTTTTGAAGGGCCAATTTGCCTTACTAAAGAACGAACCCAAATCCTTGCACGACGGCTTTTAGGCAAAAGAGAAGACATGAATATTCAATGACTTAAGCAAGAACTTATGCAGAAGAACAAGGGAGATCAAAGAGCCCATGATGATAGAAACATAGTTTACTTTGCACTTCTTTTTGCGTCCTTCTTTGATACAATCTTAAATAGCTGTCTAAAGTAACATAAACGAAGGGTTTCAAGAACAAGACTATATATGATTAGACAGAAGAGATTTCATTCCAAATCGTAACGGACAGCGGTGTTGTCCCAAGTGATATGTATTTTGGCGATTGCTCTTCAACTGGCAAGATTGATCCTATTACCCACTTGAGTATCCAATAGCACGATCAATCACGCCCATCGATAGAGTGGTTAGGGAAATCGCCCGATATCTTGGGGTAGACATAGATCCTCGTAGTATTACTACAATAGTCCCCGTTGTGCACTCCCCCGATCGGATGACTCGGATTTTCTCCCCTTGAATCAACGCCCAGACGGTGTTGTACTTATGGCCTGTTTGGTCTTTCTTTTATTAAAGGTAAAAGTTACTTAATGACATTGAAGCGAAAACATAACTATTTAAATTCAATTTGAAATTTGACCAAAAAAAATTCAATTTGAAAAAAAATCAAATGATTTCAAATGACCTATATGTCCACATGGATAGATTATTTTAATTTTGTTGTTAAATATAAAAAAGTCAAAGGCTAATTGCTAAAAAAGTAAAAAAAAAAAAAGTCATTCAAACATACACTCAATGTGAAATATGGAGCAGCATGTACACGTTGAAATTTAATCTCTCGGAGTCAGATGCATTAAGATTAAATTGATAGATGTTGACATGTAAATTAATGGTGAGAGTGTCGGTAATTGATTTACAACTATATTAGTGGTAAAAGGGGACTGATATGCTATGAATAACATATTTGATTATTTTCAAGTTTTAAATTTACTGAGTTGAGATTTTCCTAGCATCCATTATGTTTCACTGATAATTTTCATTGGTTCAAAATATTTTTCTTATTTATCATAGTTTAGAAGAGACAATGATTTCTTTGTTTACGTACTGATATACTAGAGATCTTAGGAACTTATCAAAATATCTACTTTGTTAACCATCTATTTAAGACAATTGTCACTCGTTGATTTGTACACCTCTCTCTATTCTCCACAAAGTGTTTTTAACCTTAGTGTCATCATTACTTTTAACCTTAATTATTTAATCTTATCTCTTGGTAACTCTTGAGTAGCCTCCAAATACATTCCCCTTTGTCATGTAATTCCATTCCCAAACATTTCAAGTCTTCAAGCTTCAAAGATAGGAATCCTTACTTCACTAACTTCTAATCTCCAACTTTCCTCTTCAATTATTGTTTTCTAATCTTGCGAGTAAAAGCGAAGATCCCACACTTGTGTTATTAAAGCTTCTATCTCAATCTTTCAAGTGTTGATAGGGTGAATTGTTGGACTTCACCATTTTTTTATCAATGGATTTTGCCGTTTTAAAGACCACGAATTGTTTATTCCCTTTTCTTGTTTATTTTACTTGAAGGTGACTAAAACTTTGAGTTGTTCAAATCTTTCTTCAAGGTGAGTGAAACTCTAGAGGCTAAGTTAGATTGATCTACTTAGTACTTTTGACTTGGTTATTTGATGGTTGTTAATTTTGGTTGAACTTTGATGTCCAGTGCATGAAAGTTCTGTTGATAGTGTCTTGAATCGTCGTGTTCTTGTGACTTGAATAGATGAGTCTCTATTTAGCAAGGTTGTGATTAATCGATTTCCATAAGATTCAATGACATGTTATGTGAAAATACGGAAATAGTGAAACTAAACTTGAAAGTGATATTTTTGTAACTCGACTAAGTTATTGATTACTAGCTAAGTGTTGCCAATTAATTACATGGTCGATTCTTTGAGTTGTTAATATTCACATTGTCGATTATTTGAGTTATTGATGTTCACGTTGTTGATTTGAGTTGTCGATATTCACGTTTTCAATTTTCTGCCGATTCTCTAAGTGGCCAATCATATAACTTGTTGATTTCTATACGAATTTACTGATCTATGAGTATGTTATCATTGCTTGCATGAGAAATGAAAGGAGGTAAGCATGTCATCATCATTACCTGTGTATGTGATCATTGAAACGGCAAGATAATTGTATTTTAGAAATGATCAGCATGAAAGATATTAGGTATTGAATATCAATTCTTGAGAATGAGTGTTGATTTCGTTGTTGAAGCATGGGAGATCATATGATTATGATGTTATCATGTGCACTGCGACTATATGATTATATATGGAAAGTATTATGTTGTATCCGTTGCCCATATAGTAGTGGTGACAATGCCCCGTGAGTTGAGATGCTCCAGGAGTGTCCGCGATGCCTCGAAATGCGAGATAATCGGTGAGTCAGAATGCTCAAGGAGTGTTTGTCCTAGGAATGTTCTAGATGAGATGAAGTAACGAATATGATACATGTGTATGTGCATGTATAAACATATATTCACATGTGTCTATTAATAATTTAATTGGTGGTAGCCTTGCATTACAATATATTATGCCATCCTCTAGCAATGAAGTAGATAATCTTATGCAACATTGTTCATTGATTTTCATTGGCATATTATGATTGGAAGTATAGTGAATTTATCCATTCAATTGCTTCTTATAGCATTGTTTTGTACTCATCTTAATTTAGCATTGTTTTGTGGATACTAGGTTAAGTGGTAAGATCTTCTTCTATCTTATACTTAGATATTTCAGTTACTGGGCTTTGACTCATCCCTTATTTTTTAGATTTGTAGGATGGATCACCCTCCACCATTGCGGTTTGGAGTTTTTGTATATTTTGACTATTATCAAGACGTGTTAGTACCTAAATCGGCGGTAGTTTATATTAAGTGTAGTTCTGTGGTATGGATCGACGTAGGGATACCGGAGTGTATCCCTCATTGATTTTTTGCTTGGTACTTCAATATCAACGAGGAGTTGGTTGGACTACTTAGAGGCTTTGATGGTCCCCCTGGTGTATAGATAAGTTTTTGGGTGCCGAAGTATGGGGTAGAACCGACCAAGACCGGACCTTTTTCCCAGGGTTAATGTGTTGTATTCTATTTCTTTTTGTACTTGTAACAATACTTGGAAAAGGGAAGATGAAGTCAAGTAGGTACATATAAATTATTCAAACTTGGCAAACTCATATTTCTTGTGCAATGTGATTTTTGTGCTTCCACGTGCCTAATACTAATAATAGTTTTAACAAAGGATCACATGACACACGTGACGTTTCTGTGGCATCACAATTTTCATCTTGATTAGATTCACCATCGGACTCGTATCTTTCCATTAAAATCACGTTTTGTGTAAAGTTTTTATGTGGCACTTTATCTCTATCTTTAAGTAGTTTCTTATTCTTAGACACACTCGTTGCCAATTAAAATAAACTGGCAAAGTCTTCGGCTTCAAATCTTTTTCTTATGTTGAATTTTAATCCATCGAAAGCCACATTAGCGAACTCTTTTTTCTAATAGTGAAGTGAGGCATCTATTTTTTGCCTTCTTAAATCGAGCAACAAATTGATCAACTGACTCATTATTGTAATTATAAAGTCTAGCCAAATAAGCGATTGTTACCTCAGGTATCATTCTATAAAATTGAGAGTGGAATTGTTTTTTCATCTTAGCCGAAGTATGGATCGAATGAGAAGTAAATTTGTATACCATGTAAAGGAAATTTTCGATAAAGATAAAGGAAGTAACCTTAGTCTTAAAAACTCATTTGTCCCTACTTCACCACATTGGGCTATGAATCAACCAACATGCTTGACAGTCGATTGTTCATCTTCGCTAGTAAAAATGGCAAAGTCGAGGGTTTGAAGCCACTAGAAAGAGGTTAATTGTTGACCCATTTGGGATAACGTTTCTGGTATGAACGTCTAATAATACCTCTATCCATATCAAAGTGTTGTGAACTGCTTCAGCATACTGCTATGGGGTTAATCGTGGATTTGGTTGGTCATCTTGCCTTTTAAGTGGTGATGTTGGTCTTGTCGGATTTTCTACATTGATCGGCATATTAGCCCCTTTTAAAGGATATTTCCTAATGCTTCTGATAGTTCACCTTCAGTTCCTTTTCCGCTTGTTGAAGTTACATAATCGTTACTATGGGACTTATATCGTTTTCTTTTTTCTAGCGTCCTGCTCTTATTCCATTCCATGCGTCGGAATTACGGCTTATCGACGGTGAGGGTAACTGGGAACTGCGCCTAATCAAGCAATGATTTAAATAATCAAAGGTGGCATGTGCTGTTCGAGGAGGTATATCCCTGCGTCCTTAAAAAATAACGAGGACCACAGCCATCTTTGGAGGACTCGCATAGTTTTGATGCATACTTAAGCCGCGTTAGCTCGTCCGTACATGTCACGCCGGATGGGAACGTAGCTAATAGCCTCGTCTTGAATGGATGGAAATAGATGAAGATGAAGGTGGTATACATAACTCAAATAAGACGAGCCAAAAACCTGCTATGTACAGTATTTCTTCTTCCTTCTCTATCATTATCATAGCCATGGTTTCTTTAGCTTAGTCCTGTTCATTCAAGATCAGTTTTCTGATTGATGTTAGATGAACACATGATTATATTAAATTAACCC